ACGAGTCGCGATAGTGTGCCATGCGACATACAAGCAATTCCAAGACGAGTGAATGGGAACCGCTAGGAGAAAACTTGTAATTCTGGTAAGAGACTTAATTGCTGGATGAATCCGTTTCATCTCTGGAGAACACTTGCCTTAATGTACCCATACATGACCACTACACAACCCATATTACTCCGATGCTCAGTGTTATCAGGAGCCTTGGACATACTTTTGTGGGCCATGAGCACCGTTCCGCTCTGTGCTATCGAGCATCATCAGGCACAATTTGGAGGCTGCAGCCTACGTATACGAGCTATACTCTAATTTTGGCAGGATATAGGCGATGTAATGAACTGCACCGAAGTAAATTTTACATCGCCTGAAACACCTTAGAGCCTTGATAGCATACTTCGACATACCGAGTATATATTCTGTTCAACGAACATCATTTTGTGAACTTATGCCGAAAACAGCAAGGGCTGCCGATTTCTTCACATTAACACTATCAAATGGGAAAAATTGTCCGTCACTTGTTCCATGCGTTAAAAGAGAGCACCGTGTTTTGGTGTCATTAAAAATCACTTTAGTGGCTTGACTCCGCTCTGTTATATTTGTGAAGTCTCGACTTAATGTCTCACTCGTCATAAACTTTTTGTTGCGTGTTTGGGTGCTGCTGAACCCCCGGACAAAAAAGAAAACAAATGACACAATATCAATAATTTTTTTATAAAACAAAATTGTTTAGTTACGAAAATCACGAAAGAGGGAACGCTTGTGAGAGTCTTGCAACGCCTCGATGTCTCAAAATATACGGGCGTGTGTTTGTACTTCTCTGGCATTACGCTCTTAGTTTTTGTAAGGTTGTGGTGGTTGTATGCTATTTACCATGTTGTTATTTCTCTGGGAGTCCGCAATATTTCTTACTCGGCGACTACATTTAAGAGATATCGACGCTCTGGTCTTAACACAACATGATATGGGGGAATATGATGATGTCGCCTACAAAGTCGCAAAAGAATCCAAAATATGATCTCAATAGGTCAAAAGACATGCTTACAGCGCCCACACGCCTATGCAACGAAAACTATAAACACCTTCGCTTTCCGTATCTCCTGCTTCTTACACATAAAGTACAACAAATATCTCAGATAAATTTACGTTTTTATTGTAAAAATAGGAAAAATCAGTGTAGTGTATAGAAATCTGATTCTGGTGTGGAATACAAAGTATAAAAATCTGGTCCTTTTCATTTTTTAAAGTTAATAGTGGTGGGTATAGAAGATTCGATCACGACGGAATATAATTTTCTCACTTATTTTTTATTTATTTAAAAAATTTATTTATTTTTACTCTCAGAGACGACAATGGGGTAAATTACTAACTCTACCTGGTTATGCTTCCACAATTGGTTCACTGGTGTCTGGCTATAGTAAACTTTTTTAATAAATCCCCGTCGTTGCGGTGCAACGACATTATTAATAATAAACGCCGCCCATCAGCTTTGTGAGGCTCATCAAAAAAACCTGAAGGATCATTTCGCAGAGAGTTTAAGCTCTGCACGTTTGGCGTTAGTATCAGCGAAGAGTGATTCAACTACAGGTTCCAGTTTAAACGATTTGATTACTAACTTATACGGTTCATTAATAGAGAAACTTAAAGGAATTCTGCAGGATCTGTTAGTATTCCTGCAGACAGAATGGTCATTTAATATTAAATCGGGGTAGAAAGTATTAGAGAGAATTTATTAATTGGTCTCTTGAGTCGCATTGCGAAAGTGATGAATTCATTTGATGAATTCATTCAAGTTCAAGCTCACCTAACTTATTGCTGGTTCCTTCTTGCTTAGAAATGGAGCAGAACGGCGTACACGTTTTGGTAAGCAAGCTTATAACTTCTTCCAAGATTTATCTTCTGATTGATTCGTTGACTCTTTCTCCGATTACTGTAGTAGATGATTTATTAGAAATCGATTCGGAAAATAATGCTACATTAACTCACGCAACTGAGGTTTGTTCCGAAAAGCGCGAAACGGCTACAAGGGTTAAATATCTCACAAATGTTACGCAAAAGCGTTGAAACTCGCGGTTGACTTAATTGTTTAGAACCTCGCAGTGTTCGAACGGTAATGAAACGTGTTATACGATTATACTGGAACTACATGAACTCTTGAAGCCAGCAGTGATTCGAGTCGTAAGACACTTTTTAGCAACTTAACAAGCAGCAATTCCGCTCAAATTGGTCCAACTACACACCATTGCAATTACAACCCAGTTATCTATCCTATACCCATTGCTTGTTTTCAGAAAAAATTGACATTTGTACTTCTGTGGACTTCTCCAAAGTATCGATAGTCATCGGTATTATAAAAATTAGTTTGAAAGTAAGTTTTTATATCAACTTAATTTTTGGAACACGGAAATCCCACCTTCGGTTGTGAGAGCACAATTATAGACATTAGATTATCATCTTTCCTGGTTTATATTATAGTTGTTGTTGCTTGTAAACGATTTACAGACTTTACTACTGGAAAGCGTCCAATTACGCACCTTCATCATATTCGGCTTGCAACAAATCCAGGTCGATACACATTACCTACAAATGAACTTGTGGCGTTTTGTTAAAGATGAAAAGTAAGTTGAATAAATTGAAAACAATTATTTTCTATTTACATTTTCTAACATTTTGTAGCTTATTAAATTTTCTTCGGGAGGAAATTCTGGTCTCTGCTGTTCATCGTTGCCTTGAATCTACTCTCATGCAGCCCAATGCAACCGAGATTATCTGTGAACGGGATTAGTAGATACTTTTGATCTCTCTCTCCCTCCCTCTTTTTAAAGGACTAAAATTCTGTGCAATATTCCGATTTTCATTATTAGTTTAAACTATTCTTTCTTATATCTTTTCTTTTCTAAACCATGCTTAGCGTAACGGATTAATAAAAATAGTAATGCTTGATCTATAATTCGGTTATCTTTGTTCGGTTTTATCATCGGCTATTGTGGGGAATTCTTCCAATCACAATCCTCCATTTGCACTAGTTTTTGGTAATTTTGAGAGTTCAATTTTTATGCTACAGGTGTCTTTCCATGAATAATAGAAAAAACTTGTAATGAGAATGATGGCGGTTTACCGTTTTAAAGTTGCCGTCTTTGACCGAAACTCCGTCAGCATCAATACACAGGTGGAGCTCCGGGGTGTCCTGGAAGACGTTCATGGGTATCCATCACACAATTTTAAGGCGGACCACATAGCAGTGGACATCCGCATAATAATCAAGAACTTCGAAGCACTCATGGAGCAGCTGCTGGAGGCTTACCCTAGCATAACCATATCGCCGTACATGTAAACAAGCACTATTAGGTATATTCGTATGTCTACAAGGGTTAAGGTTAAATATCTCACAAATCATTCTGACAGTTTTAGTTACATCACATGAGTAGCCGACCAGCTCAGTTAATCAATCAATGTTTGTAAGATCTTTTGGTTTTAATATTCAGCTAATGTCATAACAATGTTAATACATGATTCATTACACACACCTTTACAGGGTAAGCCATGGTCTGTTGTAAAGGTTTTTCACTAACATGGCGGCGCACAACGTGAAGAAGAGGACACGGTCGTCAGAAGAAATAGCGGCGCTGGCCACAAGACTGAAGACCCTAGAGGTGGAACAGTGGGCAAAAGGAGTCAGAGCTGATGACGACTACCTCCTCATCGGTCATTTGTATCAGTATTTCTGATAGGCGGGGCAATTGGGTCGTTAGGGGGTGTTTGGGTGGCCAACAGATTCGGAAGGTAAAGGCGAATTACTTTAGCAATATTTTAGTTACCTAAGCCATGTATGTTTTCTTACTTATAGGAAAGGATGGTTTCTCACCAGAGATTTATTGTTCATGGGTGTTGGTGTTATGTTGTCCTTTTGCCGTGTGACTAATTCGATGGAAATGTTAATGCTGGGCGCCTTATTGATCGGTGTAGCTTCTGGTTTAACTGAAACTGCTCGTATGGCTTTACGCGGTGCTCTAGGCGTATTCTTTGCTGTGGATGTAACAGGTGGTGTTGTTGTTGGTCAAGTATTCAGCTTACGGAATATTTTTCGTTCCGTTATCCGTTCTCTAGGTCTTGAGTTCTAAACCGATAGTCACGCTGAACAAAATGCATCTAGTTCTAGGCATTATAAAAGATGCATACTTCTGGGCACTACATATATTTGACAAAGATCTCTGAGCTGGTTGTCTTTGAAAAAACAAAAAAACAAAAAAAAATTTCAATCCTTAGGTGATAAAAATTGAACGGAAATTTAGCTTAGAAATATTTTTGTAGAATAATTTTGTTTGTTCTTTGTTTTTTTTTTTGTTTTTTTATTAATAAAAGAAAATTTCAGTTTATAAATGTAAACATTACAAGTTTATGACTAACATTGTATTCAAATAAATTGAGTGTTTAAATATTTGTTGTTGTTGTTTTTTTTTAATAACAGTAAAGAAATGCATTAATTCATTGCCTTTTTTGTTTGTTCTTTAATGAAAATGACAGCAATTCATATGAGATTTTAATGAAATATTTAATAATAATAATAATATTTGTGTTCCTTAACAGATATAAAAATGTATATATATATATATACTTCTAGGAAAACATTTAAGGACCGTATCAAAAACCATTAATATCTATATATGTATATAATTTCTTTTTTCATTTAATGTATTTATTTAATATTCAAAACTATAGTGCGTATATCTGAGCGAAATTATGAAAGAAAAAAAAATTTTCTTTTTTTTTCGGGTTTTATATGTCTGCCTATGCATTTATTTATGTTTTATGAGCAGTAATACGATTCTTTCAAGTTTACATTAACACACTTGTTTGCATGTGTACACGTTTATAAGATTTTTTTTAACACCCGTGCGATTTTAAATGTTCATATGTAAATAAACTCAAATTGGGAATTTTTTTATTTTTTTTTTTTTTTTTTTTTTTTTTAATACACTTTCTCTCAAAAATTTGCAAACGAGGTTTGAGGTTAAATTTGATTTATTGTGTAAACAGGTAGCTATGGGAACTATGCAACAAATTATTTATTTTGTTTTAATTTTATTTTTTTTTTCGGTAGTATGCGTTGCATATTATTATATTAATGGCCATTGTAACCGTCTTGGACATCAGTTACAATGTTTATGTTTATAAAAAACTTATTTAATAAATATTTCGGCGTTTATAATTACGAATATTATTAGCTAAGCAACAGGCGAAAATGAATCCAATGAGCTGCAAAAGAGGAAAAGAGAAAATAAAACAATTAGTTTGTCGTCAATCGGAAACATAGATTAAACATAGACTTACCTCAACGGCGATTAAACCCAGGCTAAAGTATTTGGCATTATCAGTGCTACCGGTTACTAAATCAATGAACTTCCGGCGGCAACCACCATAAAAGTTAGTAGTAATACACGAATCATTCTCGCAGCAACTTGGTGGTGGCAGTTTAAGAATCGCACCATAATCAATTACTCCATTAACGCCGCAACATTTCAACTAAAAATTTTGACATTTTTACATTTTACATCATTATGCAGGATTTTTGAAAAAGAATTTACCGATTTTTGAATAGCTTCAAAAACACCCGCCTCACGTGATTCACGTTCCCAAGCACTCTCAATTACTTGACCCATGGCATCGCTGATTTTCTCTTTATTAGTCCATAACAAAACAAGGACAACCGATTGTAGTATAAGCAATATAAACATAAAGATCGCATAGCACATGGTCTCGGTAACATTTTCACGAATGGCGCCGCAACAACCGCAAAAAGAAATCAAAACAACAATCGAACCAATTGTAATTAATCCAACAGGAACTATGGCTTGAGGCGGAAAATGTACTGTACCATCAATTTCCACAGCATTGACACTGTTCAGTACAATAACCCCATAACAAATAGCAACGATACCAATAATCTGAAAAATAAATAAATGTATAAAAATTAATTTCTAAAGAAAGAATCTTCCGCAAAGCCTTGCAAATGACATTTGATAAGAGAAACCAGATCACAACCTTAAGTGATTTCAGCTTAAGAAATTTAACTTTAACTTCCAACATGTAAAAATGCTATATTCGGCGGGAGCCGAATCCCGCATACCCGCCACCATGATTTTTGCCCTCAACTTCTCCTTTACTCTCTCCTTCTGCATTCTGTTCTCCTCCTTTAAATAAGCATAAAAACTCAAAAAAGTGAAAAAACAAAATTTGATCACTTGTAGCCTTGTCTGGGCATGGCCCATTCCAATTTCAACCTGAAGAAACTTGCAATGATTCTACAAAATTTGAAGTCGACGTCTTAATTTTTGCGACCAGGAGAGTGCAAACAATACACACCACACAGACACACAGACGGACAGACATGGCCAACTTAGAATTTCACGCTGATGAAGAATATATATATACACTTATAGAGTCTCTGAAGCTTCCTTTTGGGTGTTACATACGTTATGGGAAAAAACAAATTGAGTATATCCCCATCTTACAGGGGTGGCTATAGCAAGTAAAAATGCCATAATCGGAACAAGGTCGATCAACAGAAACTCCATTTAGTTACTTATAAACCAATGATGATTATTCGTTATTTTTATATAAATAATAATAAATAATAATTTTCGTCAAAGCCCTCACATTGGAGGCCACTAAAACGCCAACTTTGGCAAACTTAATTTACTTGTCAAAGACTTTATTATTTTCCAGTTGCTTTCGTCACAATAGATCTTTGTGACCCAAATTCCTTACGATTGAATAACGCAGGACGAACTTTCATCTTAAAATATAAAAAATTAAAACTTTTTCGGATACAAAAACCCTTATTTGTCATTAGAACCCTTATATTTTGTTTGGGATTCAATATATAGACTTATGTGGTCCAAATTCGATCAAATTAATTTTTATGCCAATTGTTATTATGAATGAATTCTCATCAGGAAATAGTGAAAATTGGGGCTTTCTACCAAGTAAAGATACAGTTTCCGTATAAACGCTTGTAAGGCAAGGAGTTTAAAAAATTTGCTCATTCTTTCGTAGGGTTTCATACCAATTTAAAATGCCGAAACACTGACACTGGGTTAAATACGCCTTATTTTGATAAACCATTATAGGGGAAGCGGTCGAAAAGGTGATCTGATGTGAACTCGTGGGCACGTTAGTCCAAAACACATCAGCGTATCATATGTCGTCAAAACATCGCCGGCCTGTAGATCGAGAAATAAGAAGATAAGATGTTCGGACGGACAGGCAACCTAAAATGGGTTCGGAAAATGATTCAGAGCCAATCGGTATAATAAAACTTGGGTCTATTTCAGGTCTTTCTAGGCGTTGCACAAACCTAATGTGCTCTTGTACCCCAAAAGCGCTATAGGGCACAATTAATTAAATCTTAAAAGTTGTCTACAAAACCTTGCAAACAAAATTTAATAAGCGATAGCTAGAAAGTTAAATTTAAACTCAATAATAATTATTAACTAGAGCATCACATTCTTAATTGATTTCAGCTTAACAAAGTTCAGCTTAATTCCAAAAATGATTCATTAATCGCTTTCTGTTCATATTTATTTATTACAGAGAGTACACTAAAGGGTCCATCCAATCTATACTTGAAATAAAAAAAAAAAAAAAAAAAAAAAAAAAATAATGAGATAAGCTTATGTTTTTCCATCCGCTTTACTACTCTTGGTAGATTTCTTGTGTGAAAGGAATATCTTTTTTTAGAGGTCACAGTGCACAAGCACCGAAAAAACATTCAAAACTCATTTATATTAATTGAAAGAAAATCGCAAAGCACTTGAAATTGTTAAGAAACTACATGCAAAACATTGCATTGCGTAAATAATTAATTTTTTTATGTAAATATTCTTTCAAGACAGATATATATATATATATAAGTAATTACCTGCTGTTATTAGTAAAAATATAACATTTTTTTTATTGCCGCTCTATGTGAGTCATACTTTGGCGATAAACGAATTGTTTATTAAGAAAAACAAAAAAAAAAAACACAATTTCCGTTATATTCTGACTTAAACGAAATTATCTCAGCTTTTATACAGTATTCAACTGTTATACATATATATATACGTAAGAGGGGTGCAAAAGAATTTCATGCGTTCCTTTATAAAATGTCCGTGACGCGCCCTTTGTTGTCCAAAACTTTGGGTTTAGGTAACTTGGGCATTGCATTGGGGTGCTTGTGCACTCATTTCACTCATAATAAAGTTCAGTCCAGTGTGTCATCACCGTGTAAAGAGATGGATGTCAACAAGCAGCATAATGGTTAACTCAGTTTCAGGTGAAAATGTGATAAGTAATAAAACATTTAGCAAGCGGTTTGCAGAAAAGTGCAAGTCTCGCGGGCGGTATCAGGCGAAGACTAGATTCTTCAATAGATAAAAGTCGAGTGAAAACTCGAAAAAAAACACTATACAGTGACGACTGAGGCCAACAAACAAATTCAATTTGGAAAAGATGGGGAAGGAAGGAATATGGATTCCTTATGAACGCTAATGGCAAACTCCACGTCTGTTTAAATTTGTTAAGTCAACGATTATATTCAACAAATTATTTCGGGCAAACAAACCTGGATTATGCACGATAATCCTAAGCATAGAAAGACCTCGGATAACCACACACACCCCTTGGAAAGCTACTTCATTCAAACGGTGTGTGCAGACACTGCGATACACGACCATTTTTTTACTCAACTCAGAGAATCATCCTTTGTTGATTTGCTGGCTCGTAGAAGAAGAAAAAGATAACCGCGTACACTAAACGACAGATTGTACAACAAATGAAGTCTATACCTTACAAGCACCAATATTCAAGTAACCTACGCCGGAAATTACAGAAAAAGTGATTTCGTTATGTGCGTTTTACGAAGCCACCAACTTCAGTCCACGGAATCGTAAAGGCAACTTAACAACAGTGTGCTTCGTACAATAGATATCTATAATGCTTATCCAATTGTTTCGAGCGATTCAAAAGTGGTGAATTTGGACTCAAGTGCAAAGGAATCTTAAGGTTTTGGCAAGGAATATTGAATGAAGTCACTATTCAATTACTTACTGAATGACAATAAGGTTAGCAGGCTAAAGTTATTGCTCAACAGTCTCGGTACCTTTGAAGAGTGCTGTTCCCTGTTTAATACCCTCCTGCATTTATTATATTACAGTAAAACATTGGCATCACATTGCAATGTCGTTTATCATAAAAAAATCGTAAGTTTTGGATGCCATGCAATGCAATAGCCCCATTTTTCGGCATTGCAGTCCAGCTCGCATACGACCTTAGAGACGTTTAGGCATAATCCAACGGACATAGCATCATACTGTCACTGTTTGCTCGGAGAAGTATTGTGGCATTGGTTCGTACTCGCGGTTATTCTCGGACTACGCAGGGATGCTGCCGCCACAACTACAACAATCTAGTTTCACGACACTCTAATTCAGCTCACGCTCACTTGCTTGAATGAACAATCCAACGCTTGGTGAATTTTGGTGAAGATGAAGCTGTGACCCATTTACAGTAGTCTTGGAATCGTATCATAAAAACATCTTAAGGCATCTCCTTTGACTTTTGTAAAAGTTGCAAGCCCAACTCAAATATTGAGTCATTCTCCTTACACTTCTTCTAATGACGTTCACCAGGGCAGAGAAGCTTCAAAATCAGTTAAATTTGTATTAGTGATGGCATAAGGAATCCAATCTATTTTCTAGATCAATAAATCTGTGTATCACATAAGTAACTTCCTTTTTCAGAAGCGATGACAGTCGAAATTAAAAAAATAAATTGCATATATGCGATAATATGAATAATAAAGGAGAAATTTGCCCATAGCGAGAGCGATAACGGCAGACCAAACAAAACAAAAGCAAAAATCCCCAGACTATTCAACATAACAACACTTTGAATGTTTTTACAAATTTATAAAAGCAACAAACAATCTGATGACGCCATTATTTTTTATACTATATAATATATATATATATATATATATATATATATACACATACATATATATATATGTATATATGTTCAGAGTCTAAAAAATGTTAAAAAAACGTTTGATTTTAATTTTCTCTATTTTCTTGTCGTGCAGAACGGATACACTCAGTGAATTGTTCTCCCTCTACATGCATACATAGTGACGAGGAAAATCTGAATGTACCATAGGATTGACTTTATTACTCTTCTTGAAAATGGAGGCACGTTGAGGTTTAAATTGCTCGCTTCCTTCAAAATGCTTTGCCCGAAAAATATTATCATTGGTTATTAAATAGAGATTATCCAGCTACTATTTCTGATATTCCTACTGCAGACGGTGTTTACCTCTTATTTGACTATTCTTCTTTTTTTTTACCTACAACTGACTCCTTAATTAAAAATTTGAGACAATGTAATTGTCGATTGGAGTCGACAGCACGAGTTGATGAAGAAAACACAATGTCAGCAGAGGACTGCAAGAGAGAGAGAGAGAGAGGGGTGTAATCACTGCAGCCAACAAAAAAAAAAAAAAAAAAAAAAACAAAGCACTTTGGCAATTTTTTTGGGGATGAAAAGAAAGGTAATAGAAAAATAAGATCAAAGCGGACTATTAAAGATACACTTAAGTGCTGAAAAAGATTGTTGTTGCGAAATATTAAAAAATTGCAACATCAGATTTATTTCAGCTAGGCATGGCTGTTAAAGGGCTCTGTAGTGCGAAAAGTTAAAAATTGGTGGCAAGGCTGACTTGCAAAGAAAACAAGCAAAAGCACTATAGTGGGCCATGGCCCTGTGCTGCTCTACAGCTATTTATTTCAAAATAAAGCGTTATGTGAAAGGTAGTCGAACTATCTTTGATGGCGGTCGTCATTGGGTCAAAATGGACCACGAGCACCAAGCCTAATTAGAATGTCTCAAAAATTGCGGCCTGCACAAC